GCAAATTATGTTAAAATGATGTGTGAAAAATATGGAACTCAACGGTATAAGTTTTATATTTTTCCAAAAATATTTAATAATCAAAACTGTGGAAGTCGGACATGTAATTAAACAAACGGACCAAGAAAACCATTGGTTTTCCTCTCTAAAAAACATCACGCCTAACACAAGGGAAAAATTTGACTCCCTTCCCATTCATTAACCTCATAATGGAGGTAATGAATATGGTCATTTTTATTTTAATTATACTTTAATATTTTATTGAATTAATGTAAATATGTTATCTCTTCACTTTCTAGAATTCTCCTTCCTCACTATAAATAGACTCTCATAACAAGAGAAACTCATGACCACATCAAGAGAAGAAAAGGATGTATAGATTTAGAGAGTAGGTGATTAAGAACGGTTTGTGGCTTTGTTGAGGGAGAGAGAGACGTGGGGGATCGATGCTGTCACGAGATCGATCATCTTACAAATGTTGTCATTCATCAATCTATTATTTTGTCTAACTAATATCAAAGGTGTGCCGTTGACTCTAACCTTTAGATATATATATCATGTTCATATATTTTGTGCATATTGTTTTAAATCTAAATCCTTGCATTCATACGTATAAACTTACATATGAATATTCTCTTAGGTTCTAGTTTTTTGTTGTGTGCATTTATCTGTATATATGTAAAGTATGTTTTTAAAAAAAATTTAACAAACATATGTACGGTAAAAAAAACATATGATAAAGTTTTCCAGTGATGTTTTTCTTCCTACGGCTGACCGAACCAGAGAGGAAAAACAAACTTGTTTTTGTAAAAAAAAACACTAGTGCACTCAGGAAAAAAAAAACACAATCGGTATTGTTAAAAAAAGTGTTTATTGTCTTTCTTATGTTTTTTTCCAAATCAAGAATAAACCACAGAGTATTTGAAAACTAATTGAACCATATGTATGGTACTAATAATAATAACTATATACACTAAAAAAAAAGAATATCTAAATGGCATTGTTGACAATAGTGAAGACAATAAACCACGGAGTACTGAATATTTGTTTTACATACTTACTGTAACCTGTTTTATATATTTGCTGTACTCAAGATTTTTTTGCAAGGTTTATTTTTCCTATCTAAACAATAATGTATACTTTGTCAGTAAAAAAAACTAATCTAAGACATAAGAAGTTAAATAATTAATTTAAGTTTATTTAAAACAGTGAAATGGCCGAAAATGAAATAAGTAGATAAAATGTATACACATGTTACTTTGCAAGAAGAAATCTACGAAATAAAGTGTTTTGATTCAAAAGGGGACGTGAACCATTAAATGATTTCAAATTGGTTTATGTTTGAAAACATTAAAAAGTGTTTTATTTAAATGACCGTACTAGGGTTAACCAAACATTTAGTGGACGAAGTAAAAGTTTCAAGATTTATATATCGACGTACTCTGACCAATTACTGTCACGTTTATATCAAGTGGGTCAAACCACTTTCAAGGCCGGACCGTGTCCATGTGGATGAGCCTATAAATAATCATACCACAACGTGCGCACGAGAACCCAACAATGACCCCGTGGGTCTAGGGTTCACTTCTGATTACTGGACCCGAGGTCACGGGGAGGTATCCGAAGTAAAACTACGTATCGACTAGTGCGGTGTTCCAGTCTAGTCACGGCTTTGTCTCTAATCTGTGGCTAACCTAGTAGGTCAAGTGTTTTCTAAATGTCCGATCCCCAAGTAACTTTTCAAAGTGATGTTATTTACTTATTGATTTTAATTATATTATGCAAAAAGCTCATAAAACATGAATAACTTAAAATACCCAAAAATATATTTACATGTTATATATGTCTATTGGTTATTTGCCACTCAGCTTTGCTGAGCGTGTAGTTTTTTTAACTGCACGCAGGTACTAGCAACGGTAACGACTGCTGAGGAGGAAAGCTTGGACGTAGAGGCCGTACTAAAAGAGTTCTTATTTAATATTTAATAATAAATAGAACGTCAAACTTAATTTTACTTTGTTTTCGGGCTTGAACCCAAGGTTGTATTAACTGTGGATGTGTTACTTTAAGTTTACGCGGTAAACGTTTTTTTAATTCCCTTTAGTTATCAAAAAGAGTATATATTTTGGAAATTTTTTTTTTACAGAGTAACCCAGTTTTACTAGCACTCTGGTCTGGATGACTCGGGTCATCCAGGGTGAGGTGTTACATTTATGTTGGCATTATTATAAAAGTAAATAAGTACACCATATAATGAAATATAATGTTTTTTGTTTATGTAAAACATTAATATCATATAAATTACAAATTCTGGAAAACTTCTTTATAAACTACATTAGTAGTACATCTTGTGAAAACATGCTCTGCATCGTCAATAAGAATCTTCAAGCTATTACGATTTGTTATTTTTAAAACCGCAACATATGATTGTTCATGACTAAACACCGGTTTCTATTATAATAATCTGACATGTTCCTTACACATTTGGTCAAAGTCATCGTCCGCTTCAATAGCTTCATACTTTGAGATAATTGACTTATCCCAAATAAGGACATACACTCCATAAGAATTATTCCTAACATAATCAGACTAATTCTCGATATCTCCCTTTACAAATACATTGAATAGAGCACTCTCATGAATTATTCTGATAATCTCTTTTGAAATCTTTCTTGGTTCATCATGTCGTTATATTATCCATGGATATAAATTATTACATTAAGTCTAGCAACAATCTTTTTGAAAGTATCAATTAAAAACATTTTATTAGAATTTCAATACCTCGTAGATCAAGATTTTCATCATGCTAGCCTGCATACCGAAAAGGTTCACACATTTTTTTATCCCAAAGTAATAAAGAAGCACTGTCTGAGTTGTCTATAACACATACGCTTACCTTGTACCTAATAAATAGAATATCATTTTTATTAAAATTTTAAAATGTTGTAAATTTATTTAATTAAAAAAATATAAATGATATAACCTATACACTCCATCGAGATAATATCTCTTGCATTTCTTGCATTTAAATCACAAACCACACCATCAATTATCTAATAATGTCCGTTCTACAAATAATAATAAATATATTATTAAGGAAAATTAGAATAAACATTCCTCTTTATTTTCATTCATATATTGTAGCGCTTTGGATAAAATTTTAACGATGTAGATTACTTTAAAACGCTAACTTCAAATTTTAGTTCTGTTTGCATTGAAAACATACTATATTTTAAAAATAACCTCCTTTGCTTTTCTAAGTAATAATAATAATAATAATGTCATCGGTCCGATATTTCTTTTTTTGTTAATTCTTTACTATTTTTAATGATTTCTCATTAAAAAATATATTTTTAAATATATTTTATGTACTAAAGTAATCACAATTTTAAAGAATAATAATAATAATAGCATCGGTCCTATAATTCCTTGCTTGTTAATTCTTTACTTTTTTAATCTGTTACCATAAAAATGGTTATTTCTTTCTTTTTTAATTTTTTTACATTAAAGACACACTCTAGTTTAAAAATAATTTCCTTTTCTATTTTAAAGAAGAATAATAACACTAATAATATCATCGGTCTGATAATTTGTTTTTTGTTAATTACTCTTGTTTATAGTAACAATAATAAGAAGTATAATAATAATTAAAAAATAATAATAACAATAGCATCGGTCCTATATATATTTCATTGTTTGTTAATTTATTACTTTTTTTAAAACGTTCTCATGAAAAAAGGATTTCTTCTTTCCTTGTTTGTTAATTATTTACTTTTTAAAAATTCTGCCATAAAAAATACAAATTCTTCTTTCCTTTTTAATTTTGTATACAACGGTGGATTACATATATATTTTGGTCCGATATTTCCATGTTTGTTGATTCTTTACCTTTTTCTTTATTAATGGTACCAAGAGAAATAACTTTCCTTATTCGATCTTAAAACACTAGATTATATATCATCCGTAGATCTCATTTTTTTTAAGAATCAACGGTTAAGATTGCTTTGCATTTGGGCAGGAAAACGCTGGTGCATTTTTCCCTTGCTTTTAAGAATAGAGTGATTTCTCATAAAAAAAAAACATGGTTTTAAATCTTTATCATGTCCCTACTTAATCACAATTATTAAATAATAATAATAATAATAATAATATAAATTATAATAATAATAATAAGAATAATAATAATTAAAAAATAATTATAACAATAGCATCGGTCCTCTATATATATATATATATATATATATATATATATCATTGTTTGTTAGTTTGTTACTTTTTTTTAAAACGTTCTCATGAAAAAAGGGTTTCTTCTTTCCTTGTTTGTTAATTCTTTACTTTTTAAAAATGTTCCCATAAAAAATACAATTTCTTCTTTCCTTTTTAATTTTGTATACAACGGTGGATTATTTTGGTCCGATATTTCCATGTTTGTTGATTCTTTACCTTTTTCTTTATTAATGGTACCAAGAGAAATAACTTTTCTTATTCGATCTTAAAACACTGGATTATATATCATCCGTAGATCTCATTTTTTTAAAGAATCAACGGTTAAGATTGCTTTGCATTTGGGCGGGAAAACGCTGGTGCATTTTTCCCCTGCTTTTAAGAATAGAATGATTCCCATAAAAAATACAATTTCTTCTTTCCTTTTTAATTTTGTATACAACGGTGGATTATTTTAGTTCGATATTTCCATGTTTGTTGATTCTTTACCTTTTTCTTTATTAATGGTACCAAGAGAAATAATTTTTCTTATTCGATCTTAAAACACTGGATTATATATCATCCGTAGATCTCATTTTTTCTAAGAATCAACGGTTAAGATTGCTTTGCATTTGGGCGGGAAAACGCTGGTGCATTTTTTCCCTGCTTTTAAGAATAGAATGATTATTAGTAAAATTGTAAAAATGAACATTTGAGACTGAAAAACCATGGTGAAGTTGATTTAGGGATGACTACCGTACCATTTGAATAGTTTTATCCCGGAGAACTAGAGTTACAAGAGTCTTAGCACATTATTAGGAAGGTAGCAATATGGCTTCAAGACTGTGTTTATACAATACTAAATGGGCAGCCACTACCAATAAAGACTATACAAGATACATGTATATAACAAGAGATGCATGAATGTATTTGGTGGTATATCCAGAAATACATTACTTGATCTCCACTGCATTCTCGACGTTTGTGGAGGGTAACTTGTCTTTTAGCTCACGACCCTTCGTCTCAAAGGGGAAAAGGATAGCACAAACGCCAGATATGAAGATGACAAACTCAAAGAGCCAAATTGCCAACCTCTGATGGCACCCGTGTATCAGCCCAACTGCAACCATAGGACACACTATCCCTCCTATCCTTCCCACCGAGTTCGCGATTCCAAAACCTGTGGTCCTAACTGTTGTAGGATATACCTGCAGAATTTTTATTTTGAATCAACAAAGTGTTCATTTTCAACCGTAATGTTCATTCTGAAAGCATAGTGTTTGTTAAGAAACAACATAGTGTTCATTCTGAAACATTTTTTTTAATTATAGGTTTGCCATGATGTACCAAAAGAAAGGTAGATCCGGTTGTACAATATAATTTGCCATGAGGGGTTAAAAGTAATAAAACATGGTACTCTAAGAACCTTTTACAGCTCATAGGATCATCTATTGTGATTTGTAAACGCATATTTAGTAGGAGACGGTGCAGTGCACTGGAGAGAATATTTGTTTTCCCTAAAATGATTCTCACATACCTCTGGAGCATATATAGATACAATGTTGAAGGTTGCGGCAATGCACGTTCTAGCTCCAAACAGAAGTCCAGTTGTTAGACCTTTGGATTGAGGATGACTGAGAGGGAGGATGAAAATGCAACAGACAAAGAATAGAGATGACATGGAGTATTTACGGCCAACTCTATCGATCATTACAGCAGAGAGGATAAGCCCCGGGATCTCTTCAAGTAGTTAACCAAAGGAAACAAAATGGGAATCAGCTTCATTATGATGAATTTAGGACAATTTTGCCCTTCAAGTAAGCTGATTAGAGCAGTAAAAGTTAACATGCATTTCATACCTGCAAAACTAGTGATGAAAATGCTGCGGTAGTTAATAGCCTTTGAATTCTTGGATTCGAACTCTGTAGGGGAGCATTTATGGTGACCAGTGTTGAGTTGGGTAGTCAGGAGAACAATGCCGTAGTACGAGAACGCATTGCCAAAGAAAACTACCCACAAAAGGAGAGTTGATCTGGCTAAGCTTGGTGAAAGAAGCTTGATAAGTGAAGAAAACCACCGGGAAGTGCATTCCACCAGTTTAGACTTCTCACTTCCATCTCCATTAGGTGAACTATTGTCTTCTGTTGGAGTGAGTTTTCTGTCAGAGAGAAGAACCCCTGGCGGCAGTCTTGCTCCGTTTATTCTTGCTATCTTTTCAAGATTATGTAAGGCTTCTGCTTGTCTCCCCTTTGTGCACAAATACCTCGGAGACTCGAGAGTGAAACTGTAGAACAAAAGAAGCAAGGAGGATGGTATGGAGGAGAGTGCAAGTAGCCATCTCCAACCAAGTCTTGGCATGACTATCTGCAATAATAAGCAGAAATCTCTGCATATATATGGATTCAGCTATAAAAGAAGAAGAAGGAGAAGAAGCAATCTTTTTTCTTCTTTCAATGGAGTTTTGGAAGGGACTCGTTTTGATTTTTTATTAAAGCTAATATTAGGTTTGTTCTAAAAAATCAATTAAGGGTGAAAGAATATCAGCCAAATACTTTTTTCTTTAAAAGAAAAGATGAGATAATTTATCAAACTATTTTCATCTCTAGTTTACCAGACATTAAAAAAAACTACACAGTGAAGACAAAAAAATGGTCCTAGCAAACACTCCCTAAGAGAACCCTTGGATTTATTTTCTTTGGAAAAACATTTTACATGGAAATTTCCTTGAAAACAAACCTCCTTCCTAACAAACACTCCCCCGAAAGAATTCTGAATTAGCGTACCCATGCTAGTGAAGACTCAAAAATGGTGCCAATGGTCCAGAAAGCTGCGAAAACTACCATCCAAGTGCCTCTATTTGGAGCAGGAATGAACTCCAAAAACCAAGAAGAAAGGACAGGACCCCCACCCAAGCCAACCCCCACCAGACACCGAATGATGATCAACACTATTATGTTTGGCGAAAAAGCACTTGTTAAGCCAGCAAGAGCAGTAATCACTGCTGTCACGAAAAACCCATTCCTGACAAACAAAAGAGAATGAGAAACATCTGCATAACAAGAACAATTTCAGCAGCCATTCATCAAGAACTTTTGTTTCTCAGGCTTACGTCACGCGTGCAACAAAAAAGGATAGACAGAAAGAGGAGTTTTGGTCAATGAGTTACCTCCTTCCGTAGTTGTCAGAAACAATGCCCCAAGTGTAGGCTCCGGCCAACATTCCAACAAAAACCATACTGGTTAGCAAGGTTTCTTGATGAGGAGAGAGATTCCAAGCAGATCGAACAGCGGGTCCCACAAACGAGAGAAGCATAATTTCCATGGCTTCAGATATCCAACCCATCCCGGCATAGATGAGCACAAGAACTTGGAATTTCCCAAACCCCATAGTGACAAGCGCTTCCTCCACCGTATACCCATTCCTCTCATCATCCATCTGCAGTACAGAATTATTGCAGTGTGAGTAGCAGTTGGTGGTTAGCAAATTTTGTAAAGATGTTCTGTTATAACTTAGCAGAATGCTAAAACTAAAAACGAAATGCCGATACCAAAATTGTTTTCCTCAAAATGCCTATCGTATTACCATATTCAAGTGTTCTAGTTCATTGAGCTTAAATCCAATTAAAGTATTTTGGTATTACCCAGAAACAATTATAATTTGAAAGCATTTTCTACTCAATTCGTGAAGTTATACCAACCCATATACTGTTAACAGAGGGTGTCTACTCAATGTTCTCAAATTCTCAACCACACAATTAAAACCACACACAATTAGGACGCTTTTTTGGGAGTAGCATATATGCATCTGCAAGAATAAAAAAATTAGAAGCAAAAAAGGATGAACAAACCTGGTAAAGACCAGACGGATTCCCCCCAGTAAAGATGAAGAAATATGATGCTGTTGCTTGCCTTATTGGGACGAAATCGTATTCCAAAAGATCGAAGTCGATCGGCTAACTCATGCAGTTTATGGGATTTCCCTGGAATCACTGGTAGAAGAGTTTTATTATCTGTTCATTCGTAATTTCAGTGGTGGGGGAACAAATGATAGAAGTGGTGGACTGGTGGGAGAACAAATTCTATGCGCATCTCTTTTGATGAGGAGTGTTGTTGGTGGGGGTTGAGCACTTTGGCGCAATACCTGAATTCGATTATTTATAGAAAAATGCTAGGTGTACCCATATATCCCGAGTTGGTATATGGTACATCCGGATGTACCTAAAAATAGGTACATCCCGATAGTACTCATTCTAAAATAAAATAATATTTATTATCGTACAAATATAAACATTCATTTTGAAATACGTAGTACTCGTTCTGATAAAGGTAATACTCATTTTAAATTAAAGAAGTACTCATTTTTACACATTTGTCTAATATAATTATAATAAATAGCGTAATGTTCATTTTTAAAAAAACAATACTCATTCTCAAATAAGGAAATGCTCATTCTGAAATAAAGTATTGTTCAATTTTTTCACAATTAAAAAGTTCAGTACCATCATCAACTTCTTCCTTCCTACCCTTTTCATTGAATCTTCGTCTATTCGATTCGTTCCAATCCCATATCTTCTTCAGTCCCACCACCTAGGGTTTCCACCTTACTATACCGCCGCCACCATCGCCTTCCCCAATTCTCCATCGTTTTCGCGCTCCCATTCTTCGCGCCTCCCTTTGTCGTCGCCTCTCCTTTGCCGGTTTCTTCGATCGTCACGCTCCTCTCCTCTTCGGGAACTTCATCGATCCTCGCTTACTTCCACCGGCTGTACAGTTCTTCCCGTACAGCCGGCTGTACGATATAATTTGTCCATATGTCCCCCACCCCCTCCTTGTCCTCATAAATTGGTAAAAAATTCAAAAAAAAAAAATAAATAAATAAAAATCAAATAAAAATGGATGGTGAAGAAGGAGATGGTGTACATTTGGGGTACACCAAAGGTGTACCCCTAGCATTGCTCTTATTTATATTATCCGTGATGTTTTGGATACTCCTTGAATACTCATTGAATAATTTAATACAGAGTACTAATTTTCAAAAAATAGAATAATTATTTTCGAGTAATTGAGGTCATGTTTTTCTCAATGTATATATTTGGAGTAAATTACTAAATTCCATAATAGGTTCCCAGTTATAGGTCGTTTTACATATTTAGTCCCTACAAATCAAATATTACGGAGTACTAACTTAGTCCCCAATTATTATATTCATTTCCACGAATGATCTTTTGTTAACATTTCCGTTAAGAACGTGGATAAAATTGTAAATTCACACTCCTTTCTCTCTTTAATTAAGCTTCCTCCCTCTCCTCGCACTCCTTTCCCAAACATGTCGCTGAGTTTGAAGCTTTCAACCCAAAACCGAAATCACCACTCTTCTCTCAATTGTTTGTCTAATTGGTGGAACCCAAATTCAAAACCATGAACCTTCATGAATGAGTTTTAATGTTTATTTTCTTTGCAATTTATTGAGACTAACCGACAAAACTCATCCATAAAGCTTATTAGTTTTAATTTTAGGTTCCAACAGGAAGACTAATAATTGAGAGAGTAATGATCATTTCAGTTTTGGGTTTAGAGCTTCAAACTCAGCGACGAGTGTGGGAAAGAGTACGAGAGGAGGTAGGAAGCTTAATTGAGGAGAGAGAGAAGTATGAATATATAATTTTATCCATGTTCTTAACAAAAATGTTAACAAAGGACCATTCGTGAAAAATGATATAATAATTGGGGACTAAATTAGTAATATTTGATATGTATGGACTCAATATGTAAAACGACCTATAACTGGAAACCTTTTATGGAATTTACTCTTTTTTTACTTATTTTTATTGGAATCATATCATATCGCACCATATCAGATCAGAAATAGTTTTAAATATAATTACATTCAGATCAAATTAGACCACAACAAACCAGATTAAACTTATTCCAATCAGATCATATGTAGAGCACATGGCCTGAATTATCCATTTACGAGTATAACTGAGTTTTAGAAAAAATGGATATTTAGTTACTCGAGAATGACTGAGAATGAATATTTAATTGTTCGAAAAATAAATATTTAATTGCTCGTCAATGAGTACTCACCTTGTATGCACGAGAAGCATCGTACAACTGATTGTACAATATATATTAAGATTATGCTATGCATAGAAAATCTACAAATATCAACTATAAGGTCTATTGTTTGCTACCAATTAATGATATGAATTGCTTTGGAAGCTATGATAGATTCCTAAATAACCAATGCTTCCCTTAGAAATTCTTTTTTATGTATGAATAATTTAAAATTGTTAAAATTTTAGTGGGTCGAGAACAAGCGATCAGAGTGTCGGATAACATTAACCACTTGCATATAAAATAGGGATCTCAAGTGCATTTGAAAATGACTTATAGATTCTACTTTACTAAAATATAATTTAAAATGTTTGGCAATCTTCTTTATCTTACTTTGTACTCCGTAAGAATTAAGGCTATAGAAGAAGAAATTAAGGTCTAGAAGTGTTTTCTAGCAAAATTAAAAGTACTTGTTTTCTGCTTCTAATATATGACTTCTACTTTTTCATTACTTACCACACTCCCAAATATTTTTCTAGTATATGTAACTGATATTCTTCTTTATTTTTAGATATGAAAATTTTAACATAAGTAATTTAGCATATCATAATATCAATGGTTTTTTAAATAAAAATTTAGGTGTATAATTGCTAAAAATTTATCTTAAAAAAACTAGAAAAATCATTTTCCATTGAATCTTACTCCTTCTGTTCTTTAAACCACTTCCTCTTTTATTTTTTCCACTTACAACAAAACACTTACACTTTCTATAAAAGAACCACTTTTACCCTTACTTTTCATACTCTAACTCATGGTGTAAATTACTTGACCGGTCAAACTACACTAGACTGGGTCTAGAATAGTTTGCTTGATTTGGTAAAGTAAGAAAGGTAAAAACACGCAAAATGACCGGTAGGACTTTAGGTGGAACACCTGTAGCCCATCCAATTTATATTATAATATTGAATGCACAGGTGCTTTTACAAGGGAGTTTAGAGAGAATGAATTCGGATCCCTACTTCTGAGAGTTACAGCCGTATTTATACTAGGTTTGGGGGGACAGGACCACGTGCGCCCATGTGGGTGCACACTGCTGGCGTGGTGCGAGGTGACTGGTTTCGTCCTTGAGCTGCCCTGTCGCCTTGTGAAGGGAATTGTGCCCTTGTCGCGTAGTGCCTTGGATGGATTCCTCAAGCCTCTCCAGCAATCCTCCACTGACATGGGTCGCTACTGTCCAAACCGCCTTGGATTCTCTTCTGCCGACACTCTCCAACCTTAGATATTACACCGGGTGATTTCCGAGGGATGAGTTTATCGAAATTAGGGAATGAACCGTGGTAAAGTAGTTTGACCGATATACTTTTCCCCGAAGTACACCGGTCATATTCGGACCGATCAAATATTGGCTTGCCGACGATTAAAGTGTTGGAATTTTTGGCATTTTAATAGGCATTAAATGGACCAACTAGGGTATATTTGTCAATAGGTCCACTAACGGTTTTAACCGTTAATTAATGGACGTGTTTTATCTTAAATGAGATAAATGTTTTGACAAATATTACGCCAAAAAAATGGTAGAGGGTGAATGAGAAATTGATTCTCAGAGTTAACCCGTTAATAAAAGAATATGGTGAGGATTGCAATTTTTGCAATTTTACTGAACCAATCTTCTTTTATTAATTTTACGTATTGTTTAAAATTAGTCCATTTTTACGGAGTTAACTGGCCATTAATCTCCAATTATTCGGGACAAATTTTAAACGGAGCGTAG